CAAAAGGGAAAGAAAAAAAATGAAAAAAGAAATTATTCTTTCAAAATTGTAACCATTTCCTTTACATTATAATGACGACGAGGAAATGTCCTTTCATTCCTTCAACATTTTGATTACTTCGCTTAGTTTTTTACATAGTAGTACAGATTAGCACTTAATACCTTGTAATTATCTCATACTTCGCACTTACATAGTCATATACCAACACTTGTTTTTAGCAGCACTATATACCCTAAAGTTTTTTAAAATTTGCTCTTTAATAAGTCTTGTTATAACTTTTCCATGACACCCCTACGGTAATTTCCAAACATTTTAACCGTTAATTAATGTTAAATCTATCCAATAGGTTTGAAGTAGAACTAAGATAGGCTTAACACTGAATTTAAAATTAAGTGTAAAAAATTTTAGTAACTAATACGTCAGTGGATGCAAGTGTAGTCAGGACTTCTAGTGAAAAATTCTCAATTCTAGATGCTGGGTGCAAATTATAAAATTTTGAATAGAAGTGTTGTCATTACCAATGAGAATACGGGATGGTATTGGGCCAGGACCAATCCTAACCCAGTTTTCTTTTGGACCAAACCCCCATGGCTCAAAAGAAAACTGTTTAGTAACATTATTTAGGCTTAAAAAATTGGGCAAACTCTGATCTAAAAATTTGACAAGCAAAGTTCAGTCCTAACCCAATTTTGGTTCAGTCTTAATCTAATTTGAACTTGTTGCCAAACACACCCTATATAAGCACTAAAATAACCAATTTTAATATTTAAGTTAAGAATTGTTGGGGTCCTTTTTGTTAAAAAGGACAACCCACCAAAAAGTGGCGTATGCTGCTTTGATGTGGAGAGCACACGGTATTCTTTAGTAAAAGGCGAAAGAATAGTTCGCTCTGTACTCACCACGCAGCTGCGTGATTTTCTACTGTGTCGAGGCTAGCTTTTTTATAGTCTGGCAACCCCACAGGCTGCTCAATTAACCGACCGATGTGGGACTAAACTGAAAGAACAGATTCCGAATTTATCGAACTCCATCCTCTCACTCGTGGCTACAGCGAGGGCGTTTTCCATTTCTCTCTCCCACTCACTTATTACTATGGTAAATTTTCTTCCGGATTATGCAGAATCTAGCTTGTTTATTTCCTTACCTTTTCCCCTTTATCATTGCTATTTGTATAAAAAGAAATTTTTGATTTAAACTCATTCCAACTTTTAATTTGAAAAACCGACCCACTTCCATTTTATTTAGAGAAACCGACCCATTTCGTGGCCACGTCTGCACCGTGGCCATGAAATGAATCGGTTTTTTTAATCTCGTCTCTAAATAGTAGGGGTTGTCAATCCCGACTATTTTGCATGCCCTAGCTAATATACAGGCTAAATTAGTTAAGATTGGCAACCCTGATTAATTTAGCACGCTATCTAATTGGTCGGGGTTCCCAACCCTGACCATTTAGCAGAGACTTTTGAAGCAAAAGTTGGCTAAGGCAAAATGGTCGGGGTTGGGAACCCCGACCATTTCGTGTATGTGCACAAAATGGTTGGGGTTCCCAACCCAACCCCGACCATTTCGTGTAGGTGCACAAAATGGTTGGGGTTCCCAACCCCGATCATTTTGCAGAGCTCTTCCTCCCCACTTTCAGCTGGAAAATCAAACTCCTGTTAGAACATATCAATCCACCAACTAATGGTACACATTTATAAATCTACAATGCAATCACAATCACAAATAACACATACCAATCCATAATCGCAAACATTCATTTTACTTACTAAAAATCCATATTCAATCGGATACATACCGTGCAATTCACATACTAATAATCAATACTCAATGGGATACATAATATTCAAACGCAAAAAATCCTATCAAGTATATCGAAACTAAACAAATATTTACAACTCCCTTTCATCTTCCTCTCCCTCTCCCTCTTCTTCCTCTCCCCCTTCCCCGTTCACCTTCGATATGAGCTAGGATGAGATCCTCGTTCGGTTGTGTGTGAAGTTGGGAGTGCATGACATTCTCGTCGACTCGAACCGGCTGTGAACATTTGGCTTGAGCCTGTTGTGAGCTGCCAGCTTCATCATGTGCACGGCTTGAGCCTGCCCCCGTGTGTCCTCAAAACCGTCGACGCCCGTACTCAATTGGTCGCTCCTCACGTCCATCACGTCTTGTATTACATGTCCTCTGAAGAGCAGACCGAATCTTTTTTTATCATGCGAAGGAACATGTTCCTCGGCTCTAGCTCGGTAGTCGTTCGCAACGCATCATGCGCCATAGTAGAAAGCTCTTCGAGCTCTTGTACTTATAAGATAAAAACCGAAAGAAAATTATTATCAAGTGGATGATAATAAAATAAAACTCACAAAATAACTGTATATTTTGTTTATACACTTACCAACTCTCTCTCAACCGGGCCTCTTGGTATGTACTCCTTAGGGGCTTTGTTCTCTTGAAATATCCACCTACGAGTAATCCCCCAATACCACCGCAAATACATACCTAGGTCAGGTGTGTTAGCCCTCTCCATCACTACCTGTTCCTCCCTCAACTCCCACCTCCCGATGTAAGCACGTCGAATATATTCTCAATTTGCATGATGTGCATCTTTTCTGGGATTTCGCTCTATTCTCTCCACAGGGATTGGAATATGTTGTTGTAGCCCAAATTGCCGGAGCACACGATCGGGCACGTGCATCTCGACAATCTCAAAACATATAATCGGGATGCGAGCACGCCATACATCCTCACCTTCCCTGTAAATATTTGGTAGTGACTCGTCCGCTGGGACAAAAGTCTCTGCTAAATGGTCGGGGTTGGGAACATCGACCATTTTGAAACGGGCTTTCGAATTAGTCGGGGTTTCCAACCCCGACCAATTAGACAGCGTGCTAAATTAGTTGGGGTTGTCATCCCCGACTAATTTAGTCTGTATATTAAAAGGGCGTGCAAAATAGTCGGGGTTGGCAACCCTGACTATTTAGAGGCGAGATTAAAAAAACCGACCCATTTCGTGGCCACGGTGCTGATGTGGCCACGAAATGGGTCGGTTTCTCTAAATAGACCATTTCGATAGCGGGCTTTCGAATTGGTCGGGGTTCCCAACCCCGACCAATTAGACAGCATGCTAAATTAGTCGGGGTTGCCAATCCCGACTAATTTAGCATGTATATTAACCAGGGCGTGCAAAATAATCGGGGTTAGCAACCCCGGGATTACCAACCCCGACTATTTAGAGGCGAGATTAAAAAACCCGACCCATTTCGTGGCCACGGTGCTGATGTGGCCACGAAATGGGTCGGTTTCTCTAAATAAAATGGGAGTGGGTCGTTTTTTCAAATTAAAAGTTAGAATGAGTTTAAATCAAAAATTTCTTCATTTGTATAATTTTGCATTATCACGTTCAATTTATGTTCAAGAAAACCAATTTAATGGGCTTTTTTCCCCAGGGAAAGGGGAATTTTTTCTCGGTAAGTTGAAGGATTCCATTAACAAGGTTCATTCTGTGCGTTCAATTGCACGTTGCCATCTTACTTTTTCTTCATTCAGTTATAGAATAGGAGGTGGTTGATTTTGATTTGCTTTTCATACCCAAAATTATCCCTATTGGTGCTGTAATCTACATCATATATTCAAATAGAAACTTGCATTTTTTCCTCATTCAAGTTATTTGGTTTAGCTATAAAATGTACGTTATGTCCTCCTCAGAATACTAAAGATCTATCAATCATGTTGGTAAGTAGTAATATCTCTATTAGATAGATGTGTTTGCGTAAGAGCAATATGCGCCGGTGTGCTATAATTATCTGACCGTGAATCTATGAAGTTACAACGGATGGTCGGCTAGTGAAATTGTTCAGTAATCATTCATCAAACCGAGAGCAGAGAAAGTTTGTCGTTTTACAAATTTCAGTCCTTGCGCGTGATTTTTTAGCTTAAACATGGGTGTGATCCTTCTATTACTACTTTCCAACATTCATCGTAATTGGATGTTACAATGGGTGGTCTGCTGGTGAAATTATCCGGTAACCATTCGTTGCAATTGAAGACTTATTAGATGATCATTGCAAACAGTGCAACATGGATTGGGAGAACCCAATTTATGGTTTTAAATGTTTCTCCTCATGCTCGAAATTTTTTTTCTGGCTTGGCTTGAAAACTGGTCCAGTCCTGTTATTCTGACGATAATGTGGGTCCTTTTATTCTCTCTTTTTTGTTACTGTTATGCCATGCTTGATTACCAAAGGAGTGTTCGATCCAACTGTTGACAAGAGCAGATGTTTATCTATCCTTAGAGGTATGACATGGCAATGGATCTGTTGTTAAGAGGTTTATTTATCTGTTCTTTTCCCTATAAGAAGCCTGTGTAAGTTACGATTGGAGGTGAAAAGAGCATAAATATTTGGAGGGATAGCCGATATACATGATTTACATCCAGTCATAAATCCTTGTTAGATAGCTTTTCATTTTCTATTCCGCTAATTTTTGGTTGCTTGCTGCTTTGTTCAAGCTTCGAGTTATCATGCTAGTTATTTGTAACATGTGGTACTTGTTGAGAGTTGAGATGAGGTTTCTATCCATTATATCTGTCAATCTTGGGCATTTTTTCAAAGTTATTGGGTTGAATGAACGCACACTTGAGATAGTTTGTCCTATATACATGCTTGCAACCATATATGGCTGAAATTAACTAGCAAGTGCGAGTCATGCAGACATGTTTTTCTTTTGTTACGAGTCAGGTCATCATGTATTTCTTTGCAGATATCTTCGGAACGAGTAGTTCACTGTAGGAATTTCCATTACATGTATAGACTACGTTGAATTTTAATATGCAATTTGTTATGAAATCTTGCAAGTACAGCTTTTAAATTGTAATCAATGATGCCATGTTTATATTTTCAGATCATTATTTGCTAGTACAGAAGCTTTCATCTTCATCTTCTTTGGAAATTTAGCTTTTGTATACAAAATGCGAAAAGAAGACCTAAGACAAGAGGATAGGCTATAAGGATAATAGCAACAAATCCCAGACGGTCATGATGGTACCCATAGTAATCCTTTATAAAAGAGGAAATTGATTTCGTCTCTCCGAACACCATGATCTCCTTGTCATTGTCTCCATATTGTGAAGATAAGAGGGCATTTAATGTCCAGGTCACAGGGCTGATATAGTGAAGCCAAATCCACCACTTCGCGATTTGCTGCAAGGAGTCACCAAAGAGAAAATGAGCATAATGCATAAAGTTAATTTAGGAATCCTTAAAATTTCTTAACTCAAAAAGATGAATGATAGATCAGAAATATGCCCTTTTTCAGTAGATATATTTATCATATATTTGCTTCTAGGTTTTAAAAAACTCCAAGTCAAAGAGAATTTGAACTGATCAGGAAAGATTGTCAACTACCTATAAACTTGGGAAAAATGCATCACATGTTTGCAATGTCTGCCAAGCCTGTGAATTTTATATTAGCAAAGACAAAAAGGATTTTATGAAAAACCTAGAAGGCCTGTCAGTTTCAAGGAATTCTCGCCTGTGGTAAATTGTTTAGCCTCCTTCAAAGAAGGAGCATACTTCCAACTTTCAAAGTCTTATATATAGAAAGTCAGATGAAAATGAAACATGAGAAGCTATACCATAGGAAAGTGCGTTTTTTTAGGCATTGACAATCATATTGAAATTACATTATCGATTGAAAATAAAAGGAATCGTAAAATAGGAGGAAACAATCAGAATGTATCAAATAGATTGTGATGTAACTGCAAAGCATATGATTGAACACCAAAGATTCTTGGCAGAGTTAATCTGACCAATAAACTGTCGCTGTTCTTGTCTTGATTCTGGATAGACAGGAAGGTCAAGGAGGTGTTGGTGGGTGTATTTTTGGTTTTTTCAGTATGTAGAACATAACCATAAAAGGGGAAGAGAGGGGGGCAGAGGAAAAAAAGGAGGCAAGAAAGAATACCTAGATCTATTCAATTCTAGGCGTAGGAGAATATGAGATTCTACAGATTGAATCCTTTGGACTTAATACTCTATATTTCACATAGTGAATCTATCTCCCAAATATCTGAGGACATAGGCCAGATTTTTGGGTCAAACCTTATAATCTTGTCTTTTGTGAGTGCTTTAATTTTGTTTTGTGGTTCCGTGTACTTTCGATGTTTCGATCTCCTAGATCCCACGGTTGCACTTTCAGAATCAGTGAGCAGCGTTACCATGTGGAACAATTCAACCTAGCTTTATGGAATTAGTTTTACTAGTCATTTTGTGGCATTGATTCTATTCAAGAACAATGGTGGATCCACTTGTGGGGAAGTGGTGTCATAGGTGTCATATGACCCCTTGGAGTATACTATTTAATGCCTTGATTTCTAGGCATGGCTATATAAGCAAACAAAGTCCAAACTAAACGAAGTTTCTTTGCTTCACATTGAAATCCGCAGCAAGAGATAGTAGCATTTGTGAAGACCCACTTAATGAGATATATTCCAATTTGCCTCAAGATTAAATTAGGTTTATCCATTTAGATTTTTTGGTGAGGGAATAATCTACGAGAGTAGGGTACTGATTGTAAATCCTTTTCTCATCTCTGGTTCTATTCTCATGTGATAGCAATCTCTTCTTTTCTCACTGCCCATGGATGTAGGACGTAGTGCCGAACCATTTAAATCTTGGTGTTGGTTGTGTTTGCTTTTGTTTCAGTATTTTTGCTAAATATTTTGTGTACTTATCTGATCAATTTAATCCCAACAGGTTCCTTATATAACCAATGGTTGAAGTTACTGTGTAATTAATGATGTGATTATGTATTTGCTTTTAAATATGAAAAAGTTTCAGGAATACTTGTAAATTTTACTTAATTATTAATTACATGGTTACACCACTCTCTAGAAATTCTGGATCCGAACTGTTCAAGAATGTCCTAGCATTATAATTTTGTTTTAATGTGTGAAGCCTTGTAATTTGGTTTTAATGTGTGACCTACTGAAAGTGTGTGTAAGCTTCAGTCTCTTAACAGTAGTAGGTTACTGGAAAAATCCTTGGGAACAAATTTGTAGAAGCATGACTGACAGAATGAACGATTTTTCATTCTAAGGATCTAAACCAGGGCGACTTTGTCCCAAGTTAATAATTAAAGGAACTGAATGAATTACTTACCGGGCCAGGAACCATAAAGCCTGAGAAGAGATATAGGTATGCATAGCATGGAGATTGCAATATTGAAGCAATTTGAACATTTGGCGTCACCGAAACAAGCAACATTCCTATGTAAACGAAATAGAGCAATGTGCAGAACATTGTGAAGAAGAACCATAAAAACTTTTGAGCCGACCAGACATAGCCAACTGTTGGATATATGATGATCGCAAATATTCCTATTTGGATAAATACATAAGGAATCTCAATGACCATCTGCAGAAAATAGAGAACATCAGAACTTGCTATAAATTCATGCAGGCTGCGAGTCTGTATTTTCTCAAAAAAAACTGATTAACCTGTGCAAATGAGTAGGCCCATGAAGAGTACATTCCTGCATATTTCTCACGGTAGAGGACAGTGCGCTCAGTTGCTACGTATGAAAAAATTGATGTCGTGCTTATTATGCCAAAGAAGATTGAGGAAATATACATCAATCCAAACACGTTGAACAGATCTTGTTGGTTGTTTCTTCAACAAACAGAAGAAAGAGTGGCATCAGTACAGAAAGTATGACCCATATTCTATATTTGTTATTGTTATTGCTGTTGTTGTTGTTGGTGCTGTTATTATTTCAAAAATAGAATCCAGTTCAATTTGGACTTCCTTTGTGAAAAGAGAACTATTATCATGCGTGTATTGGTTGTTGTTTGTATAACTCTGTTAGCTGACTCCTCAAGTCTGGATTTAATAGAAGTGTTATGTGACTTATCTCAATTAGAAGCACTAATAACATTTTATACAATACTTCCATTTCTTATTCTTGATATCTGACTGGTCTGAGGTAACAAACTAAGGTCAGCTTGCAGTTAACAATTTGTTCTATTTTTAGTTCTAGATCATGCTTGCCTCTTAAAAAGGTTATTATGGTGAGCTTCCCACAAGACCCAAAATTTGGGAGCTCTCATGAATTTGTCATTTCAAAAGTTGATAAGATTTATGTCCCCATAGTTCATTTTTTCAAGAATGATATGCAAGAAATGTGATCTTGGTGATCTATAGTTCACTAATCAATAAAGTTTGGTTAATTTTCTGAAACTTGATTTCTTACAAGCTCTCAAAACACCATGTCTGATGGGTGAAAAGAAAACAAAACAACATTAGCTATCAGTAGCCTATAGTGCTTTTTCATTCAAAACATGAAAACATGAAAACATGTTTTTTTCAAACCTTTTCCTTTTACCTACATCATTTCTTTTTATATATCCTCATCTTATAGTTTTAACCCTTCAATAGGCAAGCTCAGTATTTGCAGATATTGTCAGTCTGCACTTGTATCCTAAGTGAAAATTCTAGAGCAACTTTTATGACTTTTTCTGTTGCTATTGCCTATTCAAAATTTTCTATTTTAATGAAATAAAGTTTTGCCTCTGTAATAGAATCCCATGCAAATTCCATTCCTATCATGCTATTGGTCAATTAACGGAAAATTGTAGATTATCTTTGTCTGTGTGTCTGGCTTCAGGTTTATTATCATGTAGGAAATCTTTGGTTCCCAAAAAATTGCAACTGCAATTACAATTTGCAACTAGTTACAGTTAATGTTATTCAAATTCCAGCTAGAAAATCTGTTATATTACTAAATTTAAAGGTAAATCTAAAGCACCTGAAATAAACATACTGACTTACATTGTTTTCCCATGCTTCCAGAACAAAGCTGCATATACTGTTGATGAGATTATTGTAAATATCGTGCGCGTCAAGTTATAATGAGGACTTCTCCAGTATGACAGATACTGCTTCCATAGACAAGCTTTAAACTGCCCCCAACCATTTTGTGGAAAACGGGTAGGGAAATGTAACTCAGTTGAGTCTGGTGGTGGTTTGCTCAGTTGTTTGACTAGCTCTTGGTTATCCCTGAAAATTGGGAAATTTGGTAAATAAGGTAAGAAAACAATTTGCTCCTAATAAGAAATTTCATAACTTATCATGATTAGTTTGTGTTGTTATATATCAATAATCACTTATTTATACAGGATTCCAATTATATAGTTAATATAGATATATCAATATAGGCATCAGTAATTACTCACCTGTAGAGTGATGACTCTTTGTATAATTGCGCGAAATCTACATTAAGTTGTGCTTCAACAGATGTAGAGGTAACTTCCAACATCCATGTTGCTGGATTGTAATTGTCCTTTATCCTTGATATTCCAGCAATGCCCTGATACAGGAAGTAAAATCTCAAGTTAGTGTTTTGACGATTAGTATATACGTGCTACATAACTATACTAGAACTTAAATAAAATAAGCTAACTTGCTGTAGTTTCATCTCAAGTATATTTAAACTGTGTCACAAGTGTACATAGTCAAACATTGTATCTCTGTTGTTGCTAAAATGACTCTTATATCCTAAGTTCCTAACTATATACTAATACATCATCAATCAGAATCATGCTCCTCTGGCTACATCTTCCATTGGGAATATTTATATTCGTTTGTTTGCTTAAATGTTTCGAAGGATGCACAGTATTCATATGTTTTATTCCTTCATGCAGTTTTTTCTTTCAAATTACATCTGCAACTAAACTCAATCAAATAGTCTGTCAAGTCTGCTATGCCATTCATTAGTATTCTCTGCTGGTCTCTTACTTCTTACCTGTGTAGTGTACGAGGGGCTCTGTTTTCAAAGTCTCAAACCTCTGTTCTCAAGCTATAAGCCTGGGACAATCAACTAGTCAGGTACCTTACTATCCTCTTTTCTTCGTTCTTTTATTTTCTTTTTTGGCCTCATACAGCTTCCTTCACAGAGAAAATTTTGTTGTGCCTTATATCGTAGATAATGATTAGTGTTTACATGCGTTCATTCTGGTGTTAGTCAATTATTCATTTAGTTCTTCTTTAAATATCTGCCTGCCTATGTCTGTTTCTTTTTTCCTTTCCATTTTTTCCTAACCCACGTAGTTGCATCCTTATACTTTTGTTGATGGCTAGTGTCTTTGGTTCATTGATAATGTAGCAATATTGGATACTTGACACATTTATTTTAAATAGCTCTTCATTTTTTACTTTTTCTTGAAAATGTGCCATCTTTATGTGAAGGAACCAAGTATAACAAGTTGATGATGCGGAATTTATAATTTCATAGACAAGAAGAATTTCTTTGTATTATCTGCACTCAAGTTGCATCTCTGTTACCAATGACCTGCCAACATGTTATGGCGTAGAAATATTGATCTTGCTGTCACCCTTCAGGTAAAACCTATTACCTTTGTACTTCTATGGAGTTGTTCCTGCATCGACACGTGTCATACTCGCAAATGTACCCAACACTTCTTGGACACTCCTTAAATATATGCATAAATTTATTAAGACTTGTATTCAATTATACAATGCATGTTTAATTTAAAACACTTATATACTTCTTAGATATACATCCTACACATCCATTTTTGTAACTTGTTGGATAAGGGTTGAGTTTGTTTCTGCTTTAAGAACTACGATTTAAAAAGGTCATTTATATATATATAGCTCAGGACTATTATTATATCCCATGAGTTTCTTCAATGTCCCCATACCCTACCTTTTACAAATTTGCCGTATCCCGTGCTCGCACCTGCACCCGTACCCACACGCATCCAACTTATGGTAAAACTATACTGAATCCTTTGGGTTAGACACAGTTAAAGTGTTGTCCCTTCCCCTGTAGCATTTTCGTAATATTGCATTATTCTGATACTTGCAATATAAATTTCATGCATACTAACAGAAGTTTTGGCATTAACACCAAAGTTGCAAATTATAGTAGTGCATTTATGTTGAGAAATGCAAATAATAGCACATTAGTGCTAAAGCTACAAATTCTAACTTGTGAAGACCTGAAGTTATAGCTTTTCCTACTCCTGTCGACTCACTACAAAGATCAAATTGTAGCTCATCAATTCTACTTGTTAACCAAATAACTACACATACGTTTCGCTTCTTGAGCCTCATATTTATGTGCACTGCATTCAAAGCTTCATCTACTATTGATGTGCTATCTCTCAGTTGTTACCCTGTCATTTACATATAGTTCATCCGTTCCCAATAAAATGTATGCTTTCTCCCTCCTTCTAATATTCATGGAAATATTTTTATTTCATCTTAGTTTCTTCAATCAGAAAGGTGAGCTGACAGTGGCAGAGCCAGAAATTTTGATAGGGGGGTCCAAAAAATAATTAAACACGATAGTGCATATGAACTTTTTTTAACAATTGATTAACATATAAAGATTATTACTTAACAAGACATTGAACTGGGGTATAGATTTATACCTATTTATGCATTTGAGTCATTTTTATTCATGTACTTTTGTATGTGAAGAAGACACTTGATCCTCAGTTTCTTTCCATTGTCAAGAGGGGAATTAAATCCATTCTCTGATTCAATTGTTTTTCGTGGCATTTATATATTCTCCCTTGTTTTTCGGCATTTATATACCCTAAATTGTTTAAAATTGGCACATTAATATCTTTTATTATGCAAATGTGAAATTTGTCATATAGACCCAAACATGAAAATTAGAATGTGAGTGTTGCATGAGAATTTTAGGAGGAAATTCTTGCGTTTGCATAATTTAGGGTATTTAACTGCAAGTTATAAAAAGTTTAGGGTACTTAAGTGCAAGTTTTAATTTAAGTTTTTAATAACAGTTGAGGATATATAAGTGATGCTAAAAACAAATGAGGGTATATTAGCGCAATTTTGATGAACTTTAGGGTGTATTAATGTCAAAAACAAGAGAGGGTATATAAGTGGAAAATAGGGAAAACTGTTGGGTATTTAAATTCAATAAATCCTTTTTTTTATTATAATCCACGCGGGGAGGTGGGGTGGGGGGCAGTGCCCTGTTGGGCCCTATACGGCTTTGCCCCTGTGAGCTGAGTTCATATTGCAGCAAACATGATTTATATTGAAAACATTTTCAGCATTTCAAGGGTCATCTTATCTCATCTTTTTGTTACCAAGCTACTACATGCACCATATCATGCTAACTTAGTAGCTTTCGGCTACCTGTTTATGATATATCAAGAAATTAATTTGTTGCATAATCATGTTTTTTTCTCGTTTTATCTTTGCAGCACATCATACCATTTTCTAACTCCTCTTCCCTGGATAATTTTTTTTTTCTACGTGCATTGTGCTCCACAAAATTTCTATTATTTTTCGATGCTGACAATTCATCACTTCCCTGATAATTAAGTAATTTAGCTAAATAGTTAATGTTACTATTCCATAATTGATTTAGGCAGTATCATAGCAGACATTTCATCTGTAACTGGTAACATATCGTAGATAGTGGTTTTATCGTGTTCCATGGTAAAAGGACAATCCCAGAGAGGGAGAGCCAGGTTTTTATTCATAGGAGAAAGATAATAAGGTACAATTACGTATTTTCCCATGCGGTACTAAATTTAGGTTCTCCAAGTTTCCTTATACAATAATAATTATGGTACTTTGTATGTCATTTTCATAAGGCCGTGGAATAAGATTATTGATAATGATGAATTTATGGTTCTGGCAAATGCTAACTTCCAACTTCCAGGTTCCAACCTATGTGAAACTTAAGATCAATGTCAATATATAAATCCTAAATTAGACTAGAGAGACAGGCCTCTTGTGTATCTTAATTCTTAACCTACCTTAAAAGCAAACTTCATAACCTGAAAAGATCATGAATATCATAGAACTTACCTCAAAGTACTCAATAACTTTATATGAATGTTGACCTAATGGCCCAGCATATATCAATTGACCTCCCCTTTTCATGAGAATTAGCTGCAGGAAGATGAAATTGTTTTTCCGTTAAAATCCGAATCAAATAGCAGAAAAGAAGTAAGTCCTGTGAAAAGAAATTATACAGTAAATGGCCATCGCAAGAAATTAAGGCATAGGAAGAAATCTCCGTTGGCTATACTTCAAGTATTCAATGTTAATAAACCTGAAATTTAAGGATCCTTTAGGAGGTTGGATTTTTTGCTACAATGCCCTGTTATGTATTCTTAAAATGAATAGTAAAACCAGGGAGCTTGTATAGCACTTTGATCATGTGGATGGTTTTCATCCACTGATGAATAAATGTTTTGTGCTGTTTAATGAGATATATAACCAATAGGCAGCTTTCACAAATTTAGGGTTAACGGGAGAAAACTCGCCACATGAATTTAGGATGAAAATTATGGCTGATTCGTTTCAATACACCATGTTAGTCAAGTCATTGGAGTATGAAGGCATGCTTTGACTATAAGCATTTTAGATTACAGTTTAGTTTTCCTTATTATTATAAAAAAAATAATTTCTCTTATAAATCTTGTTTCTTTTTTTTACTGCGTTTATGTGACATCATTGCCTCTATATTTGCAAGATAAATCAATTATTACCTCATCAAATGTCTCAAATATATCAGTACTAGGTTGGTGAATAGTGCAGACCACCGTTCTTCCTGTCCCCACGACATTTTTCACTGCACGCATAACAATAGTAGCTGCTCTAGCATCCAAACCTGATGTGGGTTCATCCATGAATATAATAGATGGATTTGCAACAAGCTCTACTGCAATCGTCAGTCGTTTCCGCTGTTCAGTAGATAATCCATTGATCCCAGGTATCCCAACTAAGGAGTCTTTGATTTCGTCAAGCTCAATTGTTTCAAGGACTTCAGTTACGAATTCCTGATAATCAAATATAACTGTTTTAGTTCAGTCCAGCCTTTACAGACAAGGAGTATATCTAAAATTGAACTTTGTAGTTTCATTCCCCAAGCATATTTATATGTGTACTTTATGCAAAAATGAGGTTATGCAGAAAACTCACACGTCTAGTAGTTGGATCAACTTGTGATGGAAGCCTCAACCAAGCTGAATATATTACCGACTCTTCTACTGTAATATGTGGAGAATGTATGTCGCTCTGCTCACAGTAACCTGATATCCTGGCAAATGTTTCTTGAACCTTAGGATATCCTCCAATTGTTATCTCCCCTTCAATAGTGCCCCCTGTTTTTCTTCCAGAAAGAACATCCAATAGTGTGGTCTTTCCTGCACCACTGACACCCATCAATGCTGAAAGAACTCCAGGTCGGAATGCACCAGTAATATTATGGAGCAGCTGTAGTTTTTTTTCTGCATGGCCATGTTCTTTCATTTCCTGATAGTTAGAATAATAATGTTGTAAGTATAATAAAAGAAACTTTACATACAATTTAGTCCTCTTCGATAAGATATAGTGACGATTTGAACATGATTACCGGAGGAGTGTCGACATAGTATTGTACATCCTGAAATGCTAATGTGAGTGGAACAAAGGGTAGAGTCATCCTTCCTGCAGCATGTTTCTTAAAAATCAATCTATTCTGATTTAAGTACTATCCCATATTGATGTTTGATAGTTCTTTCTCTATTGAATAAAGAAATAAAGTGTCTACCCTTTTTCCTGTTCTCTGTTGAAGTTTCCAACGATGTATCTTTGGATGTATTCGTTAGGTCCATTGCATTCCTAGAGCCTTCTCTCTTTATTTGAGAAAGCTTCTCGCGGGAGATGATTGCTCGAGATACTCCTGGTGCTGAAAATTGGAGTCTTCTTGTTAGTTCATTTTTCTTGCTAGGAAATAAGATGAGTTAAGATCTCCCCAGCTCAAGAACAATTTTTTCATGGGTTGAATATTAAACTGGAGAAGTGTAGTCAAATATATTACAATTAGTTGGCGTGGCTTACGTTTTTTGAGAGTTATTGCCAAAGTAAATCCCACATTGAGAAGTAAAACATATCCAACCAAGGCACCCACTGATATCCAGTAGAAATAGCCATTGAAGTCCAGTCCACGGCTTGTCAACACTTGCTCTCCTATAGTTATATTTGCTGATGCAATCTGTGAAATAGGAGATATTCAGAAAGGAGTTTGAGAGAGATTTAAGTGAGGATAATGTGAGAACCAGTTACTCGGGTGTTGCGCCTTACCTTTTCCCACCGTGGTGCGAGGAACTCATTTACTGCCAAGCCTATCTCCGCATATGTTAATGGGGAACACCAATATCCCCATTTAAACCAGCTCGGCATAGAGTCTGCAAAAGAAAACCAGGTACATTTTAAATTTCATTCTGAAATGTGATTCCACTTTACTCTTCCTTTGTTTTGTATATTAGGAACGCACATCTTGTCTCTTTATCTCTTAGTATATACACTTCTTTACTCTAGACTAAGTTACCTGGACACTTTATCTAGGCTCCCATGTACATGTCTGACACTTTTCTATCCGTCCATGTCAGACACTCGTTCGACACCCGGCACTCCTTGGACACTTCTTGTATATATACATAAATGTATTCAGGTGTCGCCTCAATTATATAATACATATTATTTTTAAGTTTAAGACACTCATGAAACGTGATACACTTCTTGGATGAGTTATATTTTCCCTCAAATTTCTGCAACTCGTTAGACTAAGGCTAGGTTCATTTTTGCCCATAGCCGATTTATAAGTATGCTTTAAAGGGTTGTTTAGGTACGTAGAAAACCGAGCAATTTTCCAATTTATAATTTACTTAATAAAGGAACATAAATTATAGAAATTTTAGTTCTGTTAACATGTGAATGAAAAACTATATTGATCTCATGTAAAAAAAAAAAATTGTGTATGTTCCTGTATCCTACGTTTTACAAATTTGTTGTTTTCTGCGTCTGCACCCGTATCCACGCAACAGACTCTGGGGTAAGTTTCGTCTTGGTTACACTAGTGTGACGTGTTTGGTCAGCATCAGGTTGGTCTAGGTGCTGTCATCTAGTGGATCTTAGCTGGAAAAAAGTCTGCACAATTGTTTTGTGTAGCTTAACTGGTTTATGCTTGATATAGGATTCCATTTTTATTTATAAAAGGTGTGATAACGATGATGGTGATAATAAGATTAGAATATGGATGGAATAGACTTACGGCGTGGGAGAATGAAACCACCAAATGTCATGACAAGTAGTAAAGACAAGGTACAACTAATTGAAGAGGCCACTGCTGTTTGGAAATACGAGGCAAGGAAACGAAACATAGAAAGTGACATCTGGTGCACAGTGAAAAGTAGAAGAAATTGGCGAAAGAACCTGAAAAGAAATAAGAAAGTTGATCAGTGATGTGCGTCTGTCATCTCAACCTTAAGAGTTGGAAATCTAGGGAAAACTTTGAAGGCTACCTTTCTGGCTCTGGGCTGTATCCAATTCCGTAATACGTAATAGATGTCCATATTAGAGATTCTATCAGAGAAACAGGAATTTTTAAGAGAAAAGCAGGAATTGCGTAAGCCCATGCAGGATAGAAGTAAAAATCCCGCTGTTTGTAGAACACAGGTAGCCTAGAAACTGTCATAGACAACTCTGGATATCCATTGACCATGTGGATCATCAGGGTGTAAAACAGTGCTCCGAGGTAGCTATTAGCATGAAGAACATCAACTCCCATCCGTGTACGTAGGAAAAAAGTCATTGTGATGCTTGCAGTAATGGAGAGCTGCAAGAGGAGTGGATAACTGCTTGAGTTGAATGCATATTTTTTTCATATCAGCAACGAAAATTTTTATCCCAGAGAGTAGTATATATATACCTGAATTGTTTTGAATATGTATGTAAAGGAATTCCTCTTCATGATAAGAAGTTCCCTTGCCATGCAAGCTTTAAATAGTTCCCACTTTGGTAATGAATAAGTGCTGAAAGATAAAGCACTTTTATGGCTCTGAGACTTGTCATAGGGATTTGATAGATCCTCTTCAAGTTTCTGTCCAATGAAGTACGTCTTAAATTTCTCAAGGAGCTGATTGACTGAGACGTAGTGATACTGTTCATGTGGATGGGACCAGTACTGTTCTTGATCTTTTCTGGACAATACCTGAACATGTTTTAAACAAAGAGCTAGTTTTGAGGATCTGTAACAACACGAGATTAGGTACGTAATAAACACATCGTTCTTGTTACCTCCTGCAAAAATTCAGCTTCTCCTTTTCTTTTTGGGCATTTGAAACCACATTCTTCAAAAAAGTTAAGAATTTCATTACGAGGACCATGATATACAATCTTTCCTTCTGCCATTAAGATGACATCATCAAAGAGATCATAGGTCTCAGGTGCAGGCTGGAGAAGTGAAACCACAATAGTAGTTTCTGTGATGTGAGCCAATTGTCGAAAACAGGAAACAATTTGGAATGTCGTGGAGCTATCTAGTCCAGTTGATATTTCATCCATAAATAGAGCTTTTTTCGGTCCAACGATGATCTCGGCTAGCAAGTTCAATTGCATGGTAAGACTTGCCGTATAGAAATAATAAAATCATAGGAGATAAGAAAATTGAAGTGGCAGTACATTATGGTGAGTCCTAGCTTTAAAAAGTTCGGTAGGGAGGATTAGTTGGATTTTATTTTTTTTCTTTTTTCTTTTTTCTTTTTTCTTTTTTCTTTTTTTTGCATTGGTACTTTTCATACTACCTGTAGTCAGTCTTTTCTTTTGCCCACCCGAGATTCCTCTTCTCATGGCATCTCCAATCATTGTATCTGCACAGATATCCAGTCCCATTATCTGCAAAGCAAACATTATTTACAAAAGTGAATTAGTTCCTGAGATCAACTAATCAACTAGTTACTCACACTGTTATGCTATTATATGATTGCTATTGACTACGGGAGAAGTTACCTTCAGTATATAGTCTGTTTGGAGACTTCTTTCTAATCCCTCCATAGAAATTGCCTAGAGTTAACAAAACCGTTCGTCAGTTCATTTTTGTGCAGGATGTGAGTAGAACTAACGAGCTATTGCATGAAATCATCAAAGCCCGGAATTCTTTAGTTGTTATCTAATCAGCATAAATATATATATAGAGTGCAAGCTGGATTACTTGATGGAACAAATAATTCATTTATTGATCTTTATTATCAAATGAGTTTCTTGTTATATTAAATGTATAAAACTGCCGATAATCTAGTATAGGTCCATTGTGGAAGAAAAAATGCCATAAAAATAAGCAATTTACCTTCATGTATGTATCTATGTCAGATTCAGGAATAATTCCAGCCATCTTCTCCCTTCTACTGACTTCCTTCATAATTTCTTTATGGGAAAGAACAACATAAATTCAGGATGACATTCTTAGATGATGTCAATCGATCAGTATCTAGAAATGATTTCAAATGATGTGAAGACTTTACCAGCTCTGCTTCCAACACCTTGAAAGCGTGCTGAAAAATCCAAAGTCTCTCTCACTGTCATCTCAGGAATGTGCAGGTCATATTGGCTTACATAAGCTGCTGTTTTCTCTGGGACAAACTCTTCCAATTTGAAGCCATTATATGAAATTTCTCCGGTAATCTGTGTGGCACGAACTCATTCATAAATGGTTGAAATTTCATATAGAAACCCACGTAATTGTCAAATTACTTGAAAATGAGATTTGTTTTGGTTGAATCCAGTGATTGTTGTCTTTACATGTTTATGCACGAAACCCACTACTGATTGTTAAGGTTAGAAGGTATGCATGTTTAAGCTGTTGGATTAGTTGTGAAACAACTGTTGGCTCACTGCTAATGAGGAGAAAACATTTTATTAGAACAAATGAGGAAGGATAAATTTGTTATATGTATTGTAATCAGTAAAACCCTAATTAACTGAACTAAATTTAAACCATTTGAGAGGAAAAGGAACAGGTATAGGACTAATACTACAAATAGATTGAGTAATTAATGATGGATTTTGTTCAATTTCAGTTGGTAAAAGTATTCGTAGAATTCTATCGCAGTATTCTTTTTAATTTACATAGATCTGATCAGTGAGCCTGTTTTTCTTCCCTTTTATAGATGGTGCAAACTGCTCTACACCATAGTGTTTAGTTATGTCGTAAAATGCAAAAATAGTACACAATAGAGATGAGACAGATATGTATGAACTTTTTCTTGGTCATCTTTAAGTTAGATAAATCATTCTATAGTACAATCAAGATTTTATCTTCAATTCATTTATATTGCAGTATACCTTGTTGGGAAAGTGCATATATGGTGGTAGCTTGTACTCTTTTTTTCTTAACAATAATTATACATTGATATTTCATGTCAAAAGATTTTCTCGCCAGTGTAATTGGTAAATTTAACAGGATGATTGTGTGTGTACACCAGGATGTTTGCGTGTGTGCGTATTCGTGTTGAAATCTTATAAAGCATGTTCAAGTTATCTAAAGATTTAATATAGTTTCCAATAGTCCAAATTATGCTGCCCTACTTATAATGCTAGAAATGGCTTCCGTTATGGAACCAACGATATTTGAAGAAGCTTGAGGACATACATGGTTTATGGTCAAGGAATACATTAAGGTTTCATGGAAAGGAAAAATATATTATAGGTAAGTCAGGAATTTACTGATCAAAGATAGAAACGTAAAAATGCATAGAGTTATGATTATGCTATCTGGAGTAACAGAAGGACCAAGAACCTTGAGATTCTTGTCTAGCTGGCCTGCCAGTGCTAGCAACAAAGTAGTTTTTCCGCATCCTGGGGGTCCAAGTAAGAGAGTCATCCTGCAATCCAGACAGGCTCTCCGTTAGTAAACTTCCATGTACAAAAGAAACAGAGAAATTCCCATCGTTAAGCAAGTGAACAGGGGCGGAGTTACATTGAGTCCAATGGGGTCCCAGGACCCCAGTAAAATCTAAATATGTACCAGATATTACATATAAAAAACATAAGTGCAGCAATGGCCCAGTGATTTAACACTCCAGGACCCCTGTAATCCACCAGAGTTCGAGTCTGCTGGGCTGCATATTTTCACGATTTTTTTGGACACCATATGTGTTTTTAAATTATAGTTTGTCATTAAAATAATTTGTGCGTAAAATCTACATTATCAATAATTTTAGGACCCCATATGTTAAAAATCCTAGCTCCGCCACTGCAAGTGAATATGACTTTGGATAATGATACTGTCCGTTCTATTTATGGGTGACATCAAACTGACCCTTACGGCTTTCTGTAATGAACACCTTAGATTAGGAACTTGGCTTTAGTTAGTTTTAATCTAGGTGCATAATAATCCTAAATACTTTCCTGGAAGGCTTGATAACGCCACTGATATCCCTTAGGATGCTTATCTTTGTTCCTTCTGCCTTCAAACCAGGAACCTTTGCCAGACCCTGTACAAATAAAAACATAGACTTAGGAATATTTTTTTAACGTATCCAACCAAATACTCCATTTAGGGTTAAGGTTACTTAATTTTTGGTTTGAAAATACCAATTTGCATAATATTTACTATAGACTAAAGACAACCTTAGAAAACGAGCTTTAGAAGAAGGTCATTTCTTTATTTTATTTTTTTCTTTTTGTAAACATATGGAAACATAGGTATTAATTGTGCAACATAGAACGAAACCATGGCTTAATTAAAGTTATATAACTAAACTTGAATGTTGAGTGCATATCTCACCGAAAAAAATCCTTTGGCAGCATTCCACAAAGTGGGTAGAGGCTTCCCTTTGACTACTTCACACTTGGCTTCCACGGTCAGATTCTTGTATCGTACTTCAATAGTGGGAAGCTTCACATTTACTCTGGAAAACGTACATCTTGATCAATGCGAGGTTAAATCCAACAGAATATATACGTGTATCACATCCATCACAGTTGTACAATATACATGAAACTGTACATTTTGTTGCAAATCTATAGAGTTGTTAGATGTGTCTATATAAAGGTTTCTTGCTTGCATATATGGAGTTGTGCGCGTGTGGTTGCTAATTCATGACAAACTCTTGATCAGGGATAAGTTGGGTACGAGAAGGTTCGACAGAAATTCCCAAATTTTAGATGGCAAAGAATTCCAAAATTTTGAGAAACAGTCTTGAATCCTCCTGGCTTGACTAGTTTTTTTTTTTTTTAATAAACTTTATTCCCCTGTCTAAATATGGAGGGTCGGTGGTCTTACCTGATAAGGTTATTATCCTTTTGGTCACTGCTTATGTTGTCGGCATTTGTGCTTTTGAACTTCTGATAATTTTTTTTTATTTTTATCAGCACTTGTATTTTTAAACTCCCGATATCTCTTTGTTATTGTTTGTACTTGTACTTGTAGGCGTCTTTTTGTTGAATACCCTATGTAATGGGTCTTCCTGGGTCCTGTTCTGATTTAACTTCCTCTTATATATTTCTGATTTATGATCATCTTAATTCCTATCTTATGTTCCATTGATTCTTAGTTAGATGGTGAAGATGTTTTTCATCAGATGCCATGTAAGACATTGATTCAACGTGATTAATCATTTGGATACAGAAAGTGTTGATTGTCGATAGACCCACTGTGCTATAGCCCAATTGAATTGAGGATAAACCGCTGTAGTTCTATCTCTGCGAATGAACGCCCTGAGTGAGCTTTTTTTTGGGGGTGCTATGAGTGATTTTTTTTTTTTTTTTGACTCTTTTAGAAGTAAAAGTGGAAAGGAAAAAAAAAGTTCACTCTGGGGTCTATCCGCACTTGAGCTAATAGTACAGAGGTATATCCCACCTATAGAACTACAGAGGGTACGTCTGCAATTTTTAGTTAACGATGTCCAACTACCGTGAGTCGATACAACATCCCAAGGCCTAAATATACGCACATAATTTACTTTGTTGGCAATCTAAACATCAAGACTTTTACCTGTCCATCCTCTCTCTTTGTTTCTGCAGCAGCCGGAGGTTATCGTTCTGAATGTGCTTGATGAGTTTCTCGATGAGCAGACGCCTCTCAAGAGCCCCGAGCCTGGTGACGTCGACGGCCCTCTTCTCTCCCCGATCCTCATTGCCATCTCCACCAGCCACCGGCTTTCCCACCCCTTGAAAGCTTCCCAGCCTCTCGATCGCTGCCCACTGGAGCTCATACTCATCCTCACCTTCCCCCGCCGAGCCAGCGCCGGAATTTCTTCGAGATGAAGACCTTATGCTTCCTGCAAGCTCCTCTAGCTCAATGTCATTGACTACTAACGGAGCCATTCTTTCGCTGGCAATGAGAGGAGAGAGTGAGAAAGGCATGTGTATATATAGGGAAGATTTCTTGGACCAAGTCACTAAACGAATGGACGCAACTGCAGATGGGAACATGGCTTGAGGTGTATTTTATTGACGAGCGGTGAGTTTAGATTCTTGTCACGTATCGTTTAAAGCGAATCCACTTTCGAGTGTTGTCATTAAGAATAGATTTGCGCGTAGAAGACGTACGACTCCTGAGTTCGGGTAGCTCAATTCTTGGGTGCGTTGGACTCGGACGTTAGTTTTGTTGAGCGCGACCCTTTTCCGCGGAGCAAGTTATGTGATTGGCCAGTGAAGACTTGGTTATATTATTGCTGAGCATGTGAACCAGGAATCGGGTGCGTTGGCCGACTAATCATTTTTTACGTTGGTGAGCGTAGAGCGCACGCTCCTTATTTTTTGCCTTATTTGTGAAAATTTAACAGAAAAATTTCGAGCTGACCAGTTGTGGGTCGAGGCAAGGGCTCTGGTCCCGGGATTAGCTCTTGACCCAGCTCAGCCTAGGGCCCAGCTGAGAAGAGGCTTGGGTCGGTCCTGACCGGCTACGGGCCGAGCTAGGTTACGCTCGACAGCAGTTTAGGATGCCAGCCCACGGGTCAACCTAGCGCACAGCCCACTCCTAAGCTTTGCCGGTCCTAAAATAGGGGGAAAAGAACAAAATTTCATGAAACGCCCCTTAAGTTTAGCATTGACCCCTTGAAAGAGCACCTGCAAATCTAGCTTGTCATGTGCAAAGCACGTAATGAAAAAAAGGCAAAATGCCCCTTAGTCCTCAAAATTTAATAAAATAACAGAAATAATAAAAAGCTGAATTTGAGGGGGTTGAGGATATTTTCTTCCTTTTTTGGTTCGTGTAACTTGACATGCTACTATTTAGATTTGATGGTGATAGTTTGGATGATTAAAGTAAAAAAATCTTCAAGAAATTTTATGGAGTAGAAGAAGTTCAAGGTGACTATGCATAAAACCCCCTCAAAGTTAGAAAGGAGATTTTGTGGAATTAAAAAAATAGTTGACGGGTTACATTAAAATGGCCAAGCATTTGTAAATTTACCCAAAAAAATAAAGGGAAATTTAGTAGGTTTGGTACGCGGACCCACGGACAATAAAATAGAAAATAAACCCACCAAACAATGGCCATTCCCATTAATTGCCCACCAATTATCCATTAATAATTAACTCCCAAATACGTCTGTTCATTTCTTCATTCTCCATTAACTGTGACTAATGAGCAACAAGATAACACCAAAAACAATCAAAGAAACCAAAATTTTTATCTTTGATTCCTTAATAAAAAGAAAGAAAGAAAAAATTATCTGATAAAATCCCTAAATTTGATTCCTTATTAGAAAACCCGATTTAACTTTGAGATTTTATCGGAAAAACCCCCTAAATTGGGGGGTTGGTTTTCCCATAAAATTTCAGGTTAAAAGTAATTTTCTGATAATCCCTAAATTTAAGAGGGACTTTCCGATATTTTCAAAGTCAAGGAATTTTCTGACAATCATGCAAAATTAAGGGAGTTTTATTATGATATTTAGCCTACCATAAATATATTTGTAGTACAAATTGAAATCTCCAGACTTGGATGAGAAATATTTTCTATTCCCTAAATTTAAGGGGGGCTTTTCGATATTTTCAAAGTCAAGGAATTTTCTGACAATCATGCAAAGTTATGGGAGTTTTATTATGATATTTAGCCTGCCATAAATATCTTTGTAGTACATATTGAAATCTCCAGACTTGGATGAGAAATATTTTCTATTCCCTGAATTTAAGGGGGCTTTCCATATTTTCAAAGTCAAAGATTTTTTTTCTGACAATCATGCAAAATTAAGGGAGTTTTATTAGGGGCTGTTTGGTTGTTGTTGGTAAAGTTGTGTATTTATGACACAACTTGGAAAGTTGTTGTCCACCTCATCAATTTTACTTTTATATTTTTCTTTGTTTGTTTTTTATTCCATTGGAATCATAAAACATTTGTTTGGTTTGCAAAATTAAACTTTAATTGTTTGTTTGGAAAGTGTAAAAAGTGGTCCCTACTCAAATGATCATATTGGTTGGAATTGAAAGTGTAAAAAGTGGTCCCTACTCAAATGATCATATTGGTTGGAATTATTTTTTATTATTTTTTCCTAACTTCAATGTTAGCTTTCTCCTAAAATCATGTCTTTTTTTCATGAAATCACTTTACAAGCCACATCAGCATATGAAATCACTTTACACTATTTTCACAACTACAAACAAACAATTGAAAGTGATGAAAGCTAACATTGGGATCCACTTTTTTACACTTTACATCCTTTTACATGGTATTAGCCTACCATAAATATATTTGTAGTACAAATTGATTCTCCAGACTTGGCAGAGAAATCTTTTTTATTCCCCCACCCCCGCCCCCAGAAAACAACCCCCCCCAAAAAAGAACACTGTTAACCGATACAAAAGTGTAAACCGTAGAAGCACGTCTGGTTGCGACTATTTTGAAGGAATGAAAGTCATCAAATTGTGGAGGAAACTTTTTTTAAATCATCAAATAGTGGAGGAAACTTTTTGAAAGTCATCAAATTGTGGAGGAAACTTTTTGAAAGTCATCAAATTGTGGAGGAAACTTTTTTAAAATCATCAAATAGTGGAGGAAACTTTTTGAAAGTCATCAAATTGTGGAGCCCCAATTTTAGACTTTTAAAACAACTACCATGCCAATGTGTCACTCGTAACTTCTCAAACCAAAATCCAACATAACGGAGTGGATTTTTCTTGAAGTTGAAAACTCTGCCAAAAAAATTAAAAATTAAAATCATTAAATTTCAAGTCAAATAAAGGAGGGAAAAAAGGAACTCTTGTAAAAAAAACGATTATATAAATGTTGACTCTCTATGTATGCATTGTCAGTTGTCGATTAATTATTTATTATTTAGTCAAAGGAATCATGTTCACTGCATGAGGCTTTTCTGATCTTGTCTTATCCTGACCCAATTGAAAAGTAGAAAGCCGAGTTATCGGTGCTCGAGCTTGACCGGTGCTCGAGCTTGACCGCTACGCAAGTCAATCTACGCCTTCATTTTTACGCGCTTGGCACGTGATTAAAACTGTCGTAAACGCCCCCTTAGTATGGGTGCTAAATATCTAAGAATCAGGGACGGCCCCGAGGTTTGGGTTGCCCAAACCCAATCCAATTTTGGTTGTCCCTTATATTAAAAATTTGTTACGAACAATAACGATAAAAATGAATACATATAATACCATTTAGAATTCTATATTGGGCTCAAACTGATAATATTCTCTTGCAAAATCAATATTCATATAAGAAAAAATTATATTTGTGCTACAATTTAATTCAAAGAAAAACACTTCTCCTTGAATTTTTTGAAGCGAATTCTTTAATTAAGTCATCATACTCGAGTTTCTCGAAGTATTCATTTTCAATTGATATCATTGCCAATCCATTCAATCAATCCTGTGACATGGTAGTATGAAGATAACATATATGAAATCACAACAATAAACTAAACTGATGCCGGAACAAAGACTTAGTAATATCATTATTATTAAAACAATCTAACAATTAATCTAGATAGCAATCCAATAATATGAATGCCATCAAATCAAAGTTAAATTGAGATTATAATTAAAACCAAATAAAAATATATCAGATTATCGTCCATTAGGATTTTCGAGTTTTAGATGACTAGAAGGGAGATGAACTTTTTAACAAGTAAACAGTATTACCTCTTTCTATCTTTCAACTTTGATAAGCTTCTTTTAAACTTATGGAGACCGTGAGAAACTAGTCAGAAGGCATAACTATGCCACCCAAATAGCTAAATCAAATCTAATTCACAGTTTCAAAACAAAAACGTAGACGAAACCGCCCAAACATCATAACCCATAATTCAACAACTAATATTCAGCCAAGATTCAAAATCAGAAATCTTAATTTCATTGCAAAACATCAAAACCCCAAATTTTCGTCCAAAAAAAACCCTAAAAGTATTTATTTAAAAAATTACCTGATTATGTTTCTTTGATGGACCGATCAGCCGTCGGCGTCAATAAGTCGATTCAGATTCTCTCCGTCTTTTGGGTGACTGGATCGGACTGTCGGAGGAGGAATCGGCGAGGTGGTCCGAAGGATGGGAGCAGAGACAGGAAGGAGGAGTTGGAGGCTGACGGAACAGAGAAGGCGAAATAGAGCGGTGTCTTCGTCGATTCAGATTCTCTCCGTTTTTTTTCTTTTTTTTGTGAGCGGCGGAACATAGACGAGAAGGAGGAGAGGAGGCTGACGGAAATAAAGAAGGAGTTGGGTAGGGCTTTGGGTATTAATAAGAGTTTTTACTAATATAACCCCTAACAATTTTTGCATAAAAGTCCTCTTACAAAGTCCACTTTGAAAATTATTACGGTTTGAGGGGTGAAGGATGTAATCGCAATGGTTGCCCCCGGCCCTGGGTTGCCCTAGCCCCGGGGCTTGGTGGGCTTACCCCAGGGCCGGCCCTGCTAAGAATCGAAATTAATCACGGATATGGTTTTGTAGTGAAATATATGTATCAGTATCCGAAATATCTGAATACATATTAGTCATACTCTTACGATAATTTCGATTCTTAGATTATGGATTTGTGATTAATTTTGATGATCAATATGTCTAATCTTAGCTTTTCAATTGTAACAAACATATAACAACTTTTTTGTATTACATGAACTATGTTTTTCTCCACACTATCTAGTTTTCTCATATCCGTTTTGTATCTGCATGCATATCCGCTTACATATCCGCATGTATATCCATAATCGTATCCGATTTTAGCGGATATGGTTATGAATTTTCCTTACCAATGTATATCTGTATCTGTATCCGTATCCGAAATGGGTAAATGGATATGGATATGATAAACATCATATCTGAGCCGTATCCGAACCGAGTGCACCCATACCCTCAGGCCTGAAAGAGTCTTGGACTTGTCATTTTTAATAGGAGGCTTCGCAAATAAATTATTTACATTATTGAGTTCGTAAGTAAACCCCATCTTTAATGCTGTCTTCCGCAACTCTTCACTCACCGAAAATAATAATAATAATAATAATAATAATAATAATAATAATAATAACCACCCTCACACATGCACATTACTCCTCCATTATTTAATGACAACTCATTTTTTTATCTATCAAGTCCACCAAA